GTTTAGGGGTCCATGAAAAGATTTGGGGGTCCAGGAGAAGGTTTAAGGGGGTATAGAAGCAGGTTTGGGGGTCTAGGAGCTGGTTTAGGGGGGGTCCTGGAGCAGGTTTACGGAGTTCAGGTGCAGGTTAAGTGGGTCCAGGAGCAGGTTATGGGGTTCCAGGAGCAGGTTATAGGGGTCCAGACCATGGAATCTGAAGCCCGTCTCTCTTTAAGGAGTGCGACCAGGTCCACGTGGAGGACGTGGCGTCCGACGACAACGGGCAGGACCTGAGGTGAGTGGCGCCAACATGGCCGCCGTCGCCATGGCCGCCGTCGCAATGGCCGCCGTCGCCATGGCGCCGCTCACCGCTCTGCCTCCGCCTTCCTCCCTCCAGCAGCTACAACTTCCTGGCCGACGGCTTCAACGGGCCCGGCGGGGGCGGGGCCTCGGGCGCCGGCGCCGGCGTGCAGGGCGGCGTGGAGTGGATGCGCAAGCTGGCCTTCCGCTACCGGCGGCTAAAAGAGATCTACAACAGCTACAAGGGGAACGTCGGGGGTGAGTGGGGGGGGCAGGTGGTTTTTATTCATAGAGGCTCAGTGGGTTTATCTTTAGATACAAAATGTCTGTTTAGAGATTTAATTGAATGTTTTTCCTATTTGGTTCTAAGGCTCCAAATGACTTATTTACAACATTTGAATTCCACAATAAGAACATGATTGGTGTAAAATCATTTTCATTTAGATTTCAAACAGTAAAAAAGCAGTAAAACCTGAGATTTCTGAGCTCTTTGAACACAACAATGATTTTCCTTCATCCAAAGACCTAAAAAGCTGGTTTTCTCAGTGATTTTCTACAGAATTCCTCACACAGATGTTCCTCCATTTAAATGGATCCCACACAGTTTCCTCTCCTTTCTCAGGTCACATGGGACAGCAGCCCTGTTCCCATTGGCCCATTTGGATAAAACGTCTAAAAGCATTTTCCTTTAGATTTCAAACAGTAGTGTCTGATAGTATCTGCTATGAGGCCCAGAGGTCAAAGGTCAAAGTAAAAATTAGGATCCTGGTACAGAGAGGCAGAGATGTAGCATTTTCACATCAGAACAGGAAATCAGGAAGTTTAAAAGCTCAATTTTAGCCGTGATCCCCGGAGCATTTGCAGTTTATTAGTGCTCTGATTGGACAGTGGCTGCTGGCCCTCCGACTCCCCCAAGCGGGTTCATCTGGGACTCCGGAGGTGATGGAGGCTGTGCTCTTTCCCGCAGGTCTGCTGAGCCCCGTGAAGAGGGAGCTGCTGCTGAGGCTCCAGGCCGAGATCGAGAGCGTCACCGACGCCTGGCTCAGCACGGCGCTCAAGTCCCTGCTGCTCATCCAGTCCAGGTCTGAGCACCCCTCCCTTTTTACCAGAGGCTCGGGCCAGGGGAAAGGAAGCAAAGCCAGACGTTTGGCAGCATTTTAGGAATGAGGAAGCATTTTAGGAATGAGGAGGGAGGAAGCTTGTGTTGGAGCTTCATCAGCTGCTTTAAGATGTCTGGCTAACAGCTGCTGTGAAAACAGGTGTTCAGGAGCTGGAAACAGGTTGATTTCAGAGCAAAAACGGACTCTGTTTAACCTGAGAGGACAAAATGAGGCTGAAAGTGTCTCACTGCTCAGTTTGATGAATAATCCTCTTAAAATAGGAGCTGAGTTTACATTAAAATGATAGAAAAATGTCAGTTTTTCTACTTGAAGATGAAATAATCCAACCAATTAATTTGGGGATAAGATGAATTATTAACACAAATAAAAATAAACCAGAATATCTGAAATTTCATCTGGTTTCAGCTGGTTCCTCCAGAACCAGCTCTGATTTCCACTAAATGAGCTCTGTTTCAGCAGATATTACAGACAGAAGTGGAAACGTGTTCAGGAGCTGGAAACAGCTTCTCTGAGCAGCAGAATCTCAGCATTTTGGGTGTTTTTACTCACTGGGGGCAGATGATTTAGCTTCCTGTGTGTGTGCCCTCAGGGGGAAGTGCATGAACGTGCTGGTGACCACCACCCAGCTGGTTCCTGCCGTGGCCAAAGTGCTGCTTTACGGGCTGGGAGACGTCTTCCCCATCGAGAACATCTACAGCGCCACTAAGATCGGTAGGTTTGGACGCACTGAGCGTGCTAACTGCCTCCACCGCCCCAGCTAACGGGCCCTGTCCTCCTCAGGGAAGGAGAGCTGCTTCGAGAGGGTGGTGTCCCGCTTTGGGAAGAAGGTCACCTACGTGGTGATCGGAGACGGCCGGGACGAGGAGTTCGCAGCCAAGCAGGTGCGGTTCCCCTCAGGGTTAGCATTAGCTCCCTAGACCTAGGAGGTTCAGTTCTGTTGATTCTGCGTCCAATGCCTTTATGTTCCTCTTTTAAAAATGGCCCCAGAAGGGCCCGATTGGGCCCAGTGTTAGCATTGGCTCCCTAGTGTTAGCATTTGCTCCCTAGGGTTAGCATTAATTCTCTAGTGTTGGCATTGGCTCCTTAGTGTTAGCATTAGCTCCCTAGGGTTAGCATTAATTCTCTAGTGTTAGCATTACCTCCCTAGTGTTAGCATTAGCTCCCCACCGTTAGCTCTCTAGGGTTAGCATTCCTTTCCTATTGTTAGCGCTAGCTCCCTAGGGTTAGCATTAATTCCCTATTGTTAGGATTAGCTCCCTAGTGTTAGCTCTTTAGTCTTAGCATTAGCTCACACAGAGGAGGTTCAGTTCTGGTGATTCCCGGTCCGATCTCTTTATGTTCCTGTTCGGGTTCAGTTAGCATTAGAGTCTTTGTCCTGGGCTGGGCCTCAGAACCAGAACCCGAACTGTTCTGCTAAAGCCGGCCCTCCCTCTCTGCAGCACAACATGCCTTTCTGGAGGATCTCCACCCACGGCGACCTCGTGTCCCTGCATCAGGCGCTGGAGCTGGACTTCCTGTAGGCCGACCGACGCGGCGCTGAAGGGAAGCCGCCGTCCTGCTGGACTCTGGGCCGGCCGGCGGGAACCAGCCCCCCCCCCCCCCCCCCCCCCTCCTCTGCGGCAGCTAAACTCACCGCGGCCCAACCGGCTTTTGATTTCTGTGAATTATTCAGACAGTTTTTCTCCTGATTTTTGACTTGGAAGAGCAACAGGAAGCTCATTTGTTTGGAAAAGCAGGAGCTCAGTCGGATGCTGCGACCTCTGACCTCTGACCTGAGTCATGAGAGGTCATGTTTACTACACTCAGCGGGAGGAAACATAGAAGAAGAGTGAGGTCAGTCCTCCTACACCCCTCCCACACACTCTCTCCCAGAGGTGCACAGACCTCCTTTTGACTCGTGCTGCATTCAGGGCCCCTCAGACGCCTCAGCGCTGAAGGTGTTAACTTTCATCAGGTTCTCACTGAACCAGACCAGGTTCAGATCTTGGGGGGCAGGTGTCCCAGGCCCTTGAACGCCTCACGGGGGTGAGTCTTCATAAAGGAGGTGTTTCTCCTTTTTGACATGATGAATGTCTGCGGCTCCACTGGGGGGTGGGACCTCCGGGGGGGTCTGAGGGAAACTGACCAGCTCTGAGCTGATGAAGGTTTCCACACATGCAGCTGGACGAATGTGACTTCAGTGTGTTTAGTTTGTGCTTATTTATACGTGCCTTTGAGCTCCAGCCTGAAGGGAAGCCTCCATTTCCTCCCCTCTATCCTCTTCTTCCTTCCCTCTCTTATTCCTCCTCTTCTTCCCTTTTCTTGTTCCCCTCTATCCTCTTCCTCCCCTCTCTTCTTCCTCTCCCTCCCCTCTATCCTCCTCTTCCTCCTCAGCATATTATTATGATTATTATTATGTGTTACTGGACTCTTTATATTTTTATAACCTGCCTCTGTTTGGGTCTGATGGTTCTGATGGGCAGACATCCAAAGACGCTCTGACTCTCGTTGGGTTCAGTTGCTGTGAAAGACAATCACGCTCTCCCAGTGGGGGGGGGTCAGAGGTCGGAGCCCCCAAGGAGGTGACCTCTGACCCCCCCCACTGTTGCTCAGGTGGGGGGCGGGGCCTATGTGTGAGGGGCAGGGCTTCAGGAAGTGGCTGGCTCCATCAAGTCGGTCGGACCGTTTCCATCCTGCAAAAGTTCACAGGTTTCTCCTCTGAGTGGTCTGATCAGCAGCTCCCATCTGTGTACCGCCCTGTAAATACATTTTAAACTCTTTCTGACACGTCTGGGCCTCTGTGTTCATTCTGCCGGGGGCCGTAACCGTAGAAACGGGATGCTGGGGGACGTAACTGTGGAAACGGGGGGCCGTGACGGTAGAAACGGAATGCTGGGAGCGGCGACCGTAGAAACAGGGTGCTGTAACCATAGAAACGAGATGCTGGGGGCCGCAACCGTGGAAACAGGATGGTGGGAATCAGTCCACTTTTATTGTTTATTCTTATTTAAGGCACTTCAGAGCCTCAGTTTGTGCGGGCGGAGCCTCTTTTATCACCATCTGGACACTGAAACTCTAGCACCATCATAAAGTATTAACATCACAAGTTCTGCAGTCATTAAAAATTATTGTACAAATATTATAAAATATTGTTCAGCAAATATTATAGAAGATATGATCTTATTGTACAAATATAACATTTTGTACAAATATAAAATATTGTAAAGATATAAGATCTGATTGTACAATTATAAAATATTGAACAAATATAAAATATAATTGAACAAATAAAATATATCAGCTTATTGTACAAATATTATGAAATATTGAACAAATATAAAATATTACTGAACAAATAAAATATATCATCTTATTGTACAAATATAAAATTTTGTACAAATGTAAGATCTTATTGAACAAATATAAAATGTTATTGAAACAATATAAAATATATCATCTTATTGTACAAATATTATAAAATCTTATTGTACACAGACGCTTCAGCCGGGGGGGGGGTGCTCTGATAAGTGCTCCCCTCCCCTGTGGGGGTTTGGGGGTTGAAGACCGGGTTTCTGTGGGAAAAGCAAGGCTCGGCGGCCCCCTGGCTTCTTTGGCCGCCACTCATAAGTAGAAGTTCTCGGCCAGCTTCTTCATCCTGTGGTTGGTCGGGGGGGCCCTGTCGTGCTCCGGGACGGCGGCCATCGACCTAAACTGCAGCTCGCCATCCATCTCGCCACTGAGCGTGCTCCGCAGGGCGCCATCCGGCTCGTCGCTCTCTCGCAGCGTCTGGGCGCCGACGCCCCTCAGCTCTTCCTTGCGCAGGTTCGGGTGGAAGAACCTGTAGTAGACCACCTTCAGGACGAGGCCGAGGACGTAAACGGCGACCACGGCGACGGAGGTGGCGGCGGCGTGCGGCGGCGGGACGGGCGCCTTCCAGCTCCACAGGGCGCACAGCAGGCAGACGTCCAGCAGCGCGTAACCATGGTAAAGCGTGGCGCGTTGGCGTGTGGCGCCCGGCGCCACGCAGAACCAGCTGAAGTACCAGATGAGCGCCACCGTGCCGCGGAACAGCCACTCGCCAACGGCGTCCCCATCCATGAAGTCGGTGTTGGAGCGCCAGGCACAGAAGAGGAGCAGCAGCCAGGAGCACAGGAAGTGCGTGAAGATGAAGCAGGGAAACATGGAGGCGAAGAGGGCCAACGCCAGGAGGCGGGGCGCCAGCAGCAGCAGGTTCCACAGGAAGTAGAGCAACGAGCCGCACAGCTGCGGAGGCGCCGAGGACGGCAGGAAGGAGCGCAGCGAGCGGTGGTAGGTGGTCACGCAGAAGGCCACGGCCGACACCGAGCCCACGGCCTTCAGCACTGAGGGGGGGGGAGGTGGGAAAGGGGGGTTAGAGGAGCCAGACAGAACCAGAACTAGGACCTGGGGTTTGCTCTGAGGGAGCTGGTTCTGGTTCCAGAGTCTTTAAAGCAGAGCATTCAGAAAGCAGAGGAACCAGTCTGAGGAACCAGTCTAGGTTCAGGATGCAGACCCCCCCTCTGAGGAACCAGTCTGGGTTCAGGAAGCAGACCCTCCCCC